AGAAGTACTTCAAGTTCCTTGAGGAGGAAGCTCAGGCCTTATCTCTGGAGACATGACAGCCACTGGTGTATGTATGAGTCTCCTGTCCCTGGGGAAAACTCAAGTGTTCTTGGCAAAGTGGGTCTCAGGCCCTTGAAGTTAGGCTTAGATCTGCAAGGAGGCCTCAGACATCATCTGTGGGATCCCATGCTGCCCGTGTCCCTTGAGAAGTGGTCTCAGGAGGCTCTGTTCTCAAGGCAGGGGTCGTATGCCCCTGATAAGAAACTCAGGCCCGTGGGGGCGGGGGAGGCCCTCAGACCCCTCTTATGGAGGGAAAGACAGGATCTTAGGTCCCCAAGAACACAGCTGTGTTTCAATCCCTCATAATTGGGGCAGAAAGGTTGCATATCCTTGAGGGGGTGGTGGTCTCAGACCCCCAAGAACACTTAGACACCAGTCCCTGAGGAAAAAGATCTCCTAAAGACCTCACCTCGCCTGGGACCTCTGCAGGGGAATAGCAGGCCCCTGAAGAGGCCTCAGACCCAGTCTCTAAAACTTGCAGTCCATAAGTAGGAGGATCTCAAGCACCAGTAGCTGTGAGTCTCATTTTCTCGGCTCAGGTCTTTGTGGGAGGTGGAGGACTGAGGGGCCCATCCCTCAGAAGTAGCTTAAGATCCTGAAGAGAAGTTCAGACTCTTGCTCCAACGAGGGAGTTCTCAAGCCACTGATGGGAAATGTATACCCCTGTCACTCAGAAAGGGAATGAGTCTCATGTACTCAAATAGTGTCTCTGGTCCCTGGGTGTTGGTTTTGACCCTTGTCCCCAATGGGGAGGAAATCTTATCTCCCCGAAATAAATTTTACATTCTTTTGAGAAAAGCTCTGAAGATACCCCTCTTTAGAGGGTGTGTGTTTCTGTGTGTGTCCCTTGGTTCAAGAAAATGAAGTCTCAGGCCCCTAAATGCAGGCTTAGGACCCTTGAGGTCTCAGGCCCCACTGTAGAGTGATATTGTGTAGCGTTAAGCCCTGCGAAGGGGGCGGGGGCTGTTCTATATGCAGAATGTCTCAGACTGTTGAAATGGCTTAGGTTCCTTGTGGATGCTCAGACCTCGTCTCTGAGGTCCCCCCTTATTTGAGTTCCCTGGAGGGGAATCTGACTCCTATCCAAGAGGAAAAGACCTCTTAAGCCACTGAACACAGACCTAAGTCTCCTGGTGAGATCTGAGACACCTGCTCACAGAAGAGCTCAATCCTGTATGTGTCTCTTGGAGAACTGCCACCTACTGACCTTACAACATGAGATCCCAGAGCTTGAAATAAAGACTATAGATCATACAAGAGGCCTCAGACCCCATCTTTAAGTTTGTCACTTTATCTAGGGCCTCTAACCCGAAGTCTTTGGAGAGCAGCAAGAAAATGTTTATGCCTCTACCACCAGAGAAGTGTCAGGCCCCATGAGAAGGCCTAGGTCCCTTAGGGCGATCTGAACCAGCCTTCCTTGGATCCCTTCTGGGGAGTCTCATTTGTCATAGCTGCCCACAGCTCTTACCTGCTCAACAGTGGCAGGGTCCATGGCCTCGATGCGTGCTGCAGCCGCTTCATATTCGTCCTCGCTGTTGTAGCCCGCGCCAACCTCCTCACGCTCGGGACTGCCCCCACCAACAGCGCCAACGCCGGGAGCTTGACGCCGCCGCTTGCTATGCCCCGGCCCGGAGCAGCAGCCACCCACGCCTACGGCACCGCCCACGCCCACCACCACGCCTGCCGCACCCACGCCCGCCGCTGCTGCACCTAGCGCGTCCCCCGGACCACCGCCAGGACCACCAGGGCCCCCACAAGGAGGAGGAGAGGCCTGTTGTGGCCGGGGGCCCGCCACTGCGCCAGGAGGCACGGTCAGTGTCCAGCGGTGGAGAGCGCCCGGCGGCCCAGGTAGCGGGCCCTGTGGCGGTGGCGAAGCCCGGGGACGGGCCCCCACAACGCCCGAGTCACGGTCACGGTCGCCGCCGCCCACGCCCGTGCCGCCGCCACCCACGCCCACACCCCCGCCACGCCGCGGCGTCGGGGGCAGTGGCCCAGGCGGCGGCGGCTCGTTGGCGGGGTCAGCGTCGGGAGGCGGCGGCTTCTTTTTGGGGAGAATAGTCATGGCGGTACCGCCGAGTACCCCCCAGCAAACCCGGCGCGGAGCACGCCGGGAGAGAACCCGGATGAGGGGACAACTGTAGTGCGCGAAGCACGACGGGAACGCCTAGACCCGGATAAAGAGATCGAGGCACCGGTTCGATAACTGTCGGCAGTGTCGCGCGAGTCACGCCAGAAGGAGAACCCGGATGTCAAGTCCAAAACTTAGGCACTGCGGCGAGTTTGTCGTAGCCTTCTCTCCAAGTCCAGCAAGTTTATTGCTACACTGGTTCCGGCCTTCTGCTTCAAAGGAAACAACCAAAACAAGCACCTCTCTGCCCCGCCCCCTCACAGGTTCTTGAACTACCGGGTGGGGCCCCGGGGCTCTGCGCACGCGCGCCAGGGCACAGCCCCGCCCCTCGCTCGGAAGTACGTGGGCAAGATCGCCACCGCCACCACAACAATTGCGGTCACCAACCAATCGAACCAGCTGCGTGGGTCCCGACGACGCCCACGGACCAATCAAAGGCGAATGCTCGCCCTCCCGTGCCCTCCGTCTCAGATTTCAGTCAAAGTCGGCACCCTAGTTCCCAGCCTTTCTTCTCTCCGGCCTCGGCCTGCTCTTTGCTTTTCTCCCCAGGCGCTGACTCGCAGGCGTGGGTACTGTGAAAGGACAGCGTTGTCTGCCCTGCGACGACAGTAAAAACGCCTCCCCTCCAGGATTCCAGCTTGAACGCAGTCAGCAGGACTGTCTGGAAAATATCAACACTCCCAGAGCATAGCATTCCCCTGTAGCGTCTTTCCGGTCCCACCCACCTGCAAATCCCCTTCCGGCAGAGGCGGGCACCGCTTCACCCCGGCAACAGACTGAATTCTGTGGTGATTGGCCAAAATACACTGTCACTCACGTCAGACAGACCAACCTTGGGGCAGATGATACACACCGTGAGGACTGTGGAAGTTTGGAAAACAGACACGCCTTCTTTGGCACCGCCGCACTCTCGCCCTAGCGTTGACCTCCCCGCCCCTGTGGCTACTGCGCAGGCGCGGCACAGCCTTTTAAACCTGAGTTTGTTTGGGTCCCGCAAATGTTTATGAGCTGGCTCTACCACCGGCCAGCATGTCGCAATGGGGTTGGTAATACCCTGGCTATTGAGTGGCTGGAAAGCTGTAAGTTAATCCTAGCTCTTCCCTTCCTGAGTGATCTTTGGCAAGTCATTTAATACCCACCCCATCCTCAGTTTCTCCTTCTCTGTTAAATGGCAATGATAATTCCAATTTTAGAATCCGATATTAATGCTTGTAAAACGCATGGTGCTGTGCCCAGCACAGAGTAAGAGCTCAATAAATTAGCCTGCATGGCGGTGCAGTGGAAGGATCCCAGCGTTTGTATAGTCAGGAGGATCTCAGTTCCAGATACAAATGGACCATCACAAACTGTATGACCTTGAGCAAGTCATTATCTCTTCTGAGATTACCCATGTGTAAAATGGGAATGATAATGCCTGCCCAGACTACCTCAGGGAATAATTCTGGGGTTCAGATGCTCTCATGAACCAAGAAGGTGTTGTAAGAGGTGAGTGCTTGCTGCCAGTCTTAGGAGCCAAGCCATACAACAGGTTGGGAAACCATTGCAATATTTTTCTGAGTACCTTCTTACCTCCCTTCAGATGCTGACCCTTGCCTGAAAGGTGTCAGTAATATATGGACTCTAGTGGTGTTTTCTGCTCATGAGATTTAATGGGAGGAGGTGACTCACATTTACTGGGCCTGTTGTGTTCAGGGCTCTGAGTGAATGCCTATGCACATTATCACATTGAATTGTCTCATTATTGTCTCATTCCAGACCCATATATCCCACTCTCGAATGGATATTTTTGTCCAGCACTACACATCTAAAACTGAACTCATAAATAATTGCGGTTGACCTTCACCAAGTACCTGGCACTGGACACTAACAGCTTCGATGTTCCCTTGGACAGTGAATAGCACCTCCATCCAGCCATTGCCCAAGCCAGAAAGCTGAGTCAACCTTGACTGCTTCCTCTTCCTCAACATCCATATGCCTGTCAATCCCAAGTCCTGTCAATTATACCTCCCAAATCTCTTAACTCTCCAATTCTACTGCCACTACCCTGGTCCAAGCCACCATCAGCTACCTACCAACTGGACTACCACAAAAGCCTCCTCAGTGTTCTTCCTCCTTCCAGGACTGTCTCTCTATAGTACACTCTCCACAGCCAGAATGATCCTTCTGAAACACAAACCTCATCATGACTTTCCTGTTTATAAGCCTTTAGAGGTCCCCATTATCCTTAGCATGAAGGCCAAAATCCTTGTCATATCTTCCAAGGCCTTCTGTGATCTGGCCTACCTCTCCATCCTTCCTCACCTCACAGCCTCACACTCTCCTCCCCAGCTGGACTGAACTACTTTCAGTTCCCCAAAGGCCCTGAGCTCACCCTCTAACCTCCAGGACACTGAACTCTGCCTAGAATATTTCTATCCTTTCATCTTTTGCCTGGCTAACTCCAACTCATTCCTTGTGTCTTGGTCAGGTTAGGTTCTCCTGCCTTCTACGTGTTTTTATAATCCATAATAGTTCTACCACAGTGTCGTAATTACTTAATTGTCTGCCTTCCATACTTAACTCTGTACATCCCCAGGGCTGGCACATGATGGGCAGTTAATTCATAATATTTGGTGACTAAATGAATTATTATCTCTATTTCACAGATTAGCAACCTGAGGCAAGAGAAGGTAAGTGATTCTTTCACCCAAAGAATCCAGGTTTATCTGAATCCAAGGTCTGTCTTCTTGGTGCTCTACCTAGCTCAGCCACACACTAGCGTAGTGTTGCCAGTAGCCCAGAAGAGAGAATGTAGGGGATGTCCACAAGGAAGGGGAATTCACCAAACTGAGAGATGCTTTTATTATGGTTAAATTCAGAGTTGTTTGCTGTCAGGAAGCCTGGGCTTAAGTCTCTTCAAACCAACTACATGCTGCTCTGGGTCTTTATTTCCCCATCTGTGAATCAGGAGGCTGGAGTGGATGATGTCCAAGGGGAATGTCTCAGGAACCCCTAGTCTGCCTCACTGGCTATGTATTTGACTCTTCAAACCACCCTCTTTCATTTCTCCTGGATCCTCATCTTCCAGAATACATCACCAGAGCCATCCACCTCCCATACCTTTACTCATACCAGCCCTTCACCTAGTTGAAAGGAATTGAAATCAGAGTGATTTCACCACCACCACCCCAGCCCAACCCAGCCCTCAAACCCACAGACCCAGGAGGTGTTCAGTCACATCTCTCCTCTCAGGTTTTATTGACTGACAGAAACTACATCTTTGTCAGTCACCAGCTCCATGGGGACAGTGCTGGGGACAGGGAACCTGAGATGATGCAGATTTCAGCCTGAGAGCAGAGTTCTAGAAAGTGACCCAAGAGGGAGAAGAGAGTGGAATATGTGAAAAGGAGTTGTCAGGGAGGAAAAGGAGATCAAGAAGTTCCTCCTGTCTGCTACAACTCCAGGAGTTCAGGAACAACCCAACCCAGGCCTCAGCCCCTGACACTTCTGGAATCCTGCCTAAGAACATGGAATCAGCCTATGATCTCCAAACACAGCCCAGCTCTTGCTGGCTGCCAGGTTCTTATCTCAGCCAGTCCAGACTCCAGCCCAACCCAGGAAGGAAGTAAGCCAAAGAAGAAGAGAGAAGGAGTAGTTAGAGGTGGCCCCTCTGATTAGGGCAGATATAAATGCTGCAGCAGACTGGTCAGAGGCTTTGCATAATGTCATGGTGGCAGCAGCTATTGCTAGAGTTTGCTGGGGGCCCAGTGGAGGACAGGCTTGCGGGGACCCATTTCTAGCAGCCAGGGAAGGGGGTGGTGGAGTTTGTGCTATCTGTATGTGTTGGGAGAGGCAGCCTGACCCCTCAACCTGGGGGTGGCAGGCCACTGCTGTGGCACAGCCCATGAAGCCTGTGGTTGCATTCTGAGCTTTGGAATCTGGGAATTGTTGGGCCAGGCGGAGGGCAGGGACCTCTCCTAGAGACCATATCTGAGGTGAGGGTTCTCTTCACTGAACCTCCAAACCTCCCTCCATAGCCCAGCCAGAGAGAAGAAGAAATCTCAACTCTCCTTCTCAGGCCAGAGCTCAGATGTCAGGTGGGCATTTTACCTACCTCTCAGGCCCCAGGGGAGGAGCATGCAGGAGGCCAGCTCAGGGAGCAGGGCCAGTCCCACCCAGTGTGCTGGGGCAAGGAGGCCAGGGGCCTGTGGAAGCCTCGTGCTTCAGCTCCCACCAGAACTGTCTGGGGAGGGGGGAAGTTTCCCATTCCCTGGCTACTTCCCCACCATGTAGGCCATTCCATGAAACTCCATTGCATAGTTCTTGATGTGGGGCGGAGGGCGTCCCCAGGCCTGCCCTCTCTGCTTCCCCAAAATATGGCTTTGGAAAGGAGTCCCCAAAAATGAAGAGGGCCCTCTGAATAGGCTGGCCCACCCCTCACAGCGAAGAGATCTTCACAGTCTCAGGAAGGAGGCAGGGGGTACCCAGGCTGGAGTTCCTGAGGGTGCTGCTTGCCCTGCCACCGCCACCAGGGGAGGAAGGTTGGCTCTCATCTGGCGTGTTGGCAGGAAGGGTCGGGATACTGATAATGGCAGCCACGAAGTCCCGGCTGTCGCAGTTCAGATCAAAGCTGTCATGGGGCTTAGCATTGAGGCTTGAGCGGCTGTGGACAAGGGTGGGGGAGATGGAAGGCTCTTAAAAAGTCATCTTAATACTTGCCACAGCAATATGGCATTTATTGAGTGCTTGCTGGGTCCCTGGCACTGTGCTAAGTGCTTCCTCTGTATCCTCAATTATGGCAGTAGAGAGTAAGGGCTCTGGAGTCAGACAGTCCTGGATTCAAATCCTAGTCTTATTTTAACCACTCTAAACCTCTTTCCTCTCATCTGTAGCATAGGAATAACACTATTTCCTACCTCATGGGGTTGTTGTGGAGATTCAGTGAGATAATAAATGATACAAAGTGCTCAGAGCAGTTCCTGGAACATAATGAACACACACAAATATTATCTCGCATGGTTACTCCTAACAATGCCGAAGTCTTTATAAGAGTCTACAGTAGGATCTACACGCTCAGGTCATCAGGTCCTCATTCCTTTCAGCCTTTACCTCATGTGCCTCCCCCGGGCTCATTCCACTCACTCACAATAGCTCCCTTGCTGTGTGTCTAATGTGCACAGCCACATCTACCCCAAGGCCTTTGCACGGGCTGCTCTTTGTGCCTAGAACATTTTTCTCTAGTTATCTGCATGGCTTACTCCTTCACCTCCTTCTGTTTTGGGCTTAATTGTCACTTCAGGAAATCATTCCCTGACCACACTATTGAAACTGCATCACCCCCTGCTCTACACTCCCTGATTTATTTTTCTCCTTGGTGCTCACAACTGTTTGACACACTACACTACGTAGTCTGTATATTTGTTTAATTACTGTCTTTTTTTTTTTTTTTTTTTGTGAGTCAGAGTCTCACTCTGTTGCCCGGGCTAGAGTGCCGTGGTGTCAGCCTAGCTCACAGCAACCTCAAACTCCTGAGCTCAAGTGATCCTCCTGCCTTAGCCTCCCGAGTAGCTGGGACTACAGGCAATGTGCCACCATGCCCGGCTAATTTTTCCTATGTATTTTTAGTTGGTCAATTAATTTCTTGCTATTTTTAGTAGAGACTGGGTCTCGCTCTTGTTCAAGCTGGTCTTGAACTCCTGACCTTGAGTGATCCGCCTTGGCCTCCCAGAGTGCTAGGATTACAGGCGTGAGCCACCGCGCCCGGCCATATTTATTTACTGTTTTATCCCACTGGATTTCTCTCTGTTCTGTTCACTGCTACCTCTAAAGTGCTTAAAAAGTGTGCCAGCCATACAGCAGGTACTCAATAAATAAATACTTGGTGAAAGAATGAATGAAGAATGAGGAGTTCCAGACTAGATAAGCCTAAGCTCTCAGCATCGAGGTGTTTGGGCTTAAGCTTGACTTGCTAGGCCTAAAATCTTGAAATCTTAGACCCACTGGTCTAAGCGCTGAGCTTCCCTAGATGTGGCCAGCAGGTGGGTGGGGTCCTTACCTCTGAGGAGCAAGGCTCCTCCGTAGCCCTGCTAGTGTGTCCAGCTCCTGCATGCTGCCACGGCTGACTGAGGCAGTGGAGTTGGCAAGGCGGATGGCACGGCGCTTGGCTCTGCGAGGACAGCAAGAAGATAGCAGGCTGCTGGGCCCCACTGGCTGGGAGGACACAGAGGTGCTGCAGCTGGTGCGGCCTCCTAGCGAGACAGCTCCCAAGGCTTCACTGAAGGTTAGCTCGTCTGTGAACTCATGGCACTGTGGGCAGAAGGGAGGCAGGGTCACAAGGCACCCCATGGACGCTGATCCCACCCTCAGGCCTTTGCTCTGGCTGTCCCCTCCTTTCTGGAAGTTGCTCCCTCTCCCCTTCCCTTGCCTATCCTTCAAGGCTCAGCTCTGTTGTAGCCTCTTCCAGGAAGCTCTGTGTGATTTCTACACTTAGTGATGAGCCTCCCATCTGAGGGAGAGATTGGCTTGGCAGCAGAGAAACCCTCTCCATTCTGCCATGCCACCTCTCATCAGGCCTCACCGTTGTCTTCTCCAGACAATGCAGCAAGTGGTGATGTTGGTGTTCAAAAGCAGAACGGTTTCTGACACATAGCGCCTGCTCCTCTCCACTGCTGCTGTCCTACGGTAGACAGAGCAGAGAGATAAGGGCAGTACCCTCTTCCCCTGTCACCACTCACCCCCAACCCCAATCTGGGCCCTACCCACCTCAAGGCCCCCGTTCTGCTTGTACTGCAGGAAGGCATTGGTGGTACCACTCTTTGCCAACCGAATCCTTGCCAAGCGCACCTTCTACAAAGAGAGGAGGAGATAACGGGTCAGGTGGGTAAAGCCCAAAAGTAGACTGGCTTGGAGTGTAGGGAATAGGAGGTGCTCAGATGGAAGGTGTAGTTACCTGCTGAGCTCGGCGCTTGTCAGCCCGCTGGTTCTGGTGGTAGATGCGGCTAAAGTTGGACACAATGACTGGCACAGGCAGGGCAATGACCAAGACGCCACTGAGCGAGCAGATGGACCCAAAAATCTTGCCAGCAATGGTGCTAGGCACCATGTCTCCGTAGCTGGAGCAGAGGGAGGTAGGCCCAGGTCAGGAAAAGTGCCCACCCACCTCTCAGTCCCCCTTTCCATCCCATCTAACCCCGACTCACTCTGTAACCCTAGCCAGGCACTTTGACTCTCTGAACCTCAGTTTCTCGTTCTGAAAAATGCCGTGAATGACCTCTCTGGCCACAAGTGTGGGTCAGATGAGAAATGGGTCTGGCCCTCAGCCCCTACCATCTGCTGCCCCTATCCGAGCTGCATACTGGGCTTCTGAATCAGCTGGAAATCTATTAATACCAAATAGAGGGGAGAATGAGGAAATCACAGGCAGTAAACACAGCCTCCTGCCGAGAGAGTCCTACTGCCACAGGCCAGCGAGGGGCTTCGAGTCCTAGGAGGAGTGTTCTATTGGTTTTGCCTGTCTCTGTCTTACATTGTCTAGGTAGGATCCTTTCTCATTCCCCTAGAGGAAACCTTGAAAACTGTCTTCTTATAACAAAATAGGGGGGAGCCTTGAAACCCCCCCCACGGCCTTTCTCCATGCCACCACCCTCCCATAGAGATGGAGCAGAGCCAGCCTTACTAACTTATTTCACAGGGGGGAACCGAAGCTCAACGAGGTTCTGCAACTGACTTGCCCAAGATCACACTGTATACTTTTGTTCTAACCACAAGACCAATCAGAATTCCTCCACAGAAATGCAGCCTCTGCAGTCTTCAACCTCTAGGCCTTTGCTCAGGCTGTACCTTAGGATGGCTCTTGTTTATTTCTGTATTTTGACTCATTTTAAGCATTCAGGACTCTGTTCAAAAGTCTCTCCAACTTGGCCATTTCTGGCTCTGTGATGTGTCATCTCAGACCATGTCCTCCACTGTGAGACATGGGCAGCCATCCACCCTCACAGGGTTGTCATGAAGACCGAATAGAGTAAAAAGCATCAAAATACTCAGTTCCAAGCCGCGCACGGTGGCTCACACCTGTAATCCTAGCACTCTGGGAAGCCGAGGCGGGTGGATTGCTTGAGGTCAGGAGTTCAAAACCAGCCTGAGCAAGAGCGGCGACCCCATCTCTACTATAAATAGAAAGAAATTAATTGGCCAACTAATATATATAGAAAAAATTAGCCGGGCATGGTGGTGCATGCCTGTAGTCCCAGCTACTTGGGAGGCTGAGGCAGCAGGATTGCTTGAGCCCAGGAGTTTGAGGTTGCCGTGAGCTAGGCTGACGCCATGACATTCACTCTAGCTTGGACAACAAAGCAAGACTCTGTCTTAAAAACAAAACAAAAACTCAGTTCCAACCCACTGTCAGGACTCGATATTTGTTTGCCAGTCTGATCCTGAGCCTCCAACCAGAATTAATTTCTACTCCTCAGAAACCCCAAGTCAATTTTTTGTACCTCTATTAAGGCACTGAGCAAGCCCAATTCATTCAGTCATTCACTCACCAGATACTGAACACCTACTGTATACCTAATCCAGGTGATGGAAACTTAGACAAGGATCACAGAATCTGCTCTAGACAATATCTATGGGAATGTCACGAGTTGATACTTTTATCCCAACTCTATTTACCCTCAGGGATTAGAAGTAAAAAAATAACGATGAAAATATCTTGTTCTGGGAAGCAGCAAGGAATCACAAAGCCACAGAGGTACTGCACTGCACAAAAGACAATTCTAGAACGTTGGGAGATGTGGGTCCTCAAAATGGAAAACCGGGTGATAAAAAGTCAGTACCTATATTCTGCACCAGAAACATTCAGAGAACTTTCACAACTGTGATGTCATTGAATCCTCTCTAAATGATGAAGGGATCATCATTTCCCATTTTACAGGAGAAACTGAGTCGCTGAGAAAACAACATCAACAGAAAGACAGCAGCTTAAGATGATCCTTGAACCCAAGTCTCCTGACCTAGAAAATCAAGGCACTGTCAGAGCTAGGAGAGATTTGAAGATTAACTCCAACTCCCTCAATTTTTACAGATGAGCAAACTGAAGCGCAAAACAAAAGATCATTCATCTAACCTTCCTAATTGTAGGGAAAGGATGAGTGTAATCAATTGATCAGGCAGCCCCCAACACAGGGTCTGCACTCACCCAAGCGTGGTCATGGTGACAATGGTATACCAGAATGCTGCAGGGATGCTGGTAAAGTTGGTCTTGTTTGTGCCCTTCTCCGCATAGAACATGACAGTGGCAAAGATGATGATGGCCATTGTGAGAGAAAAGAGGAGAAAGCCCAGCTCAGAGGCACAGCTCTTGAGTGTGTAGCCCAGAATTCTCAAACCCTGTGAGTGTCTGGAGAACTTGAAGATGCGGAACACCCGGAACACACGCAGAGTGACAAAGGCGCCTGAGACATCCTCGTTCTTGGGCACGAAAAGCCCAATGTAGTAGGGCAGGATGGCCACCACATCTATGAGGCTCATGACACTCCGCAGGAAGCGGCAACGGCTAGGGGCAGCAAACAGCCGCAAGAGGTATTCACCTGTGAATATGAGCACACAGGCTGTGTCCATGCAGAAAAAGGCCATTGGGAAGCGTTCGCCACAGGGCTGTTCCCTTGGGGCGTGGCGCGCTGAGCCGCGGCATGGAATAGTCTCCACCACGTTGGCGACAACCGACACGGCGATGAAAAAGCCAGTCACATAGTAGAAAACGAGGGCTGCAGTGCTTGTGTGCGGGTTCTCGAAGGCCCGCCAGAGCCGCTGGCGCAGGGAGCTGCCTGCCGGCAAGGCTGGGCTGTCCCCGGCCTGCTCGGCCTCCTCGTCCTCCGCCAGGCGCTCGGCGTTCTCCTTCTTGCGGTCCCGGTACTCTTCAAGGCAGCAGTCGCCGACAAGCTCCGGGACCAGGCCGTAAAAGGCCAGCTCCTCGTCGAAGGCCTGGATGCACTCCTGCCGCGGGCAGTGCAGCCGGCCCGTGCGGTAGAAGTTTAGCACATGCCGGAACATGTCTGGGTCGCGATCAAAAAAGTACTCGCCCGAGTCGGCGTCGTAGAAGAACTCCTTCTCAGAACTGCCCAGCAGGGTGTCTGGGTAGCGGTCCAGTGTGTTCTTCCAGGTCTCAAAGCGCCGTCCGCTCACGTTCACCACCAGAACCTCATCCCCGCGAGACGCCTTCACCCCCGGCGCAGGAGGCAGGGGCTGCTGGGCCAGGGGCAGCCAGCCCACCGCCGCCGCACGGGCGAAAGGCAGCCACGTGGCCACACCTGCTGCCATCCTGCCGCTCCCCAGGCCCACGGAGACTTGAGGGGGGGGGCGTTTAGGAGAATGTGGCTGTCTCCAGGATGGTGGGGGCTTGGAGAGGCCCTGGGCCACACGGACAAGGAAACTAGAGGTGTCTAGAGACGCCAAGAAGAACCAGGAGGAGGAACTAGAGAGAGGGGCAGGGCCTTGGGAGGCATTTACAGGGTCTAGGAGGGGCCTGGGCGATGTAGAGGGGCTGAGAAGGGGCCAGGGGACATAGAGAGAAGCAGAAAAGAGGCATCCCGAAAGGCCAAGAAGGATCTGAGGGAAAGTTTAGAGAGACTGAGATGATTCTAGAGGAGTGACATGTGCCTGAGAGATGCCTGGGGGTGTCTATAGGGGCCAAGAAACACATGGGAAGTTGTCAATAGTCTCTAGTCTTAGGGAGGGAAGAAGGGCCTGGAAGCCCTTAGCAGGGTTGAAGGGTTGGAGATTGGGGCATCCACAGGGGTAGAAATGGGGCAAGAAGTGCTTGAAAGAGGTTGACAGTGTCTGGAAGGGAGGTAGTCTAGAGGGGGTGAAACAGGTGAAGAGGGTTGTCCACACCCTCAAGGCTTTGGTGGGAAAGATATCGGAGTTGGAGCCCCCTTGTGGATCTGGAAAGGGGGCTAGTGCATCCCAAGGGGTGGCTGTAGAGCCAGGAGATTGTAAAGAGGCTGAAAGGGGTCTGGGGAGTGCCTAGAGCTGCCAAGAATAGCCTGGGGGGGGGTTGTCTACACTCTACAGGAGTTCTGGGGAAGGAAGAAGAGGAGGGGCCTCCTGGTGGATCTGGGGAGGGGAGTGAAGAATCTACAGGGATACATGTGGGGCTGGGTTATTTTTTTAAGAGGCTGAGAGTTACCCAGGGAAGGAGGGTATCTAGAGGTGCTAAGAAAGCCTGGTCCACATCTTCAGGAGTTCTGCAGAGAGCAAAAAGGGGCCTGAGGGGCTGGGACTCAATTAGAAGGAAGTTGGGCAAAGCCCCAGAGCACTCAGGGGACCTGAAAAGACTAAGAGGAAGGGGGTTCCCTCTAAATGGGCTAGAGAGGGGTGTGGGGTGTTGAAAGGGAGTTGGGTGTGTCTCCAGGGAGGGGGAGCTGCGGAGCTTTGCAGGAAGCTGGTGAGAAGGCTGGGTCCCACAGTTGGGGGCAGGTCTGGAGAAACCACACCCCAAGGGGCTGGCGGTGTGTGCTGGGCAGCAGCAGTGGCAGCAGCGGCAGCAGGAGGAGGAAGAGAAGCGGCCACAGCCAGGCTTGGAGAGGAGGCCCCATGGGCAGGGGGAGGAGGCTGGGTCCCCAGGAGGAGGCTTTGGAAGGGCAAGGTCCAGTGGGACACCTGGGGACTACCCCAGGATGGGCTAGGGCGTGGGGGCTGGAACAGGGAAGGACAAGGACAGTGCTGTTGGTGGTCCCCTCCCCCTAGGGCTGTCCTCACCTGTGTCCCCGCTGCAGCAGCAGCAACTGCGGTGGGGCTGGGGGTACCAAACACCGGAGCTCCTGGCCCCCTCTGCAGAGCTGCCTGAGTTCTCCTCCTCCTCTGGCTCTCTCTCCCCGCTCCTCTGAGCTTGCCGGGAGATGAAAAGAGAGGCAGGGAGGGGCCTCGTGGCTCCCCGAGCCCCCTCCCCTAGGACAGCCTGAGAGGGACCCTGGGGAGACTCCGCCTCCTACAAAGCTGGTTGGGCCTCAGTCGCGTCATCTGGAAAATGGGGGTGGCAGGGAACTTTGCCAATTCTCCCCACCTCCTTCCTGGACTCCCCCCTCTGCCTGCCCAGCTTCTATCCCCTCTGCCCCCAGGGGCCCCCACCCCCACCCGCCTGAATCAGCAGCACTTAGCAGATCAGATCGATGGGGAGGCGTCTGTTAATGGCACCAGAGTGGAGTGCCATGGAGAATGATGCAGCGCTGTCCCTCCCTGCCCCCCTGACTGTGGAAAGGCTGGAGAAGCAGGGGTGGGGGGTAACTGGTGGGGAGTGTTTCTCTGTGTGGCCAGGTCTCCAAAGCTGCCCCTGGGTAGGGGAGCACAGCCTGGGTTAGAGCCCCAGCTCTAACCAAGACTTCTGCTATGGGACCAGAGCATGCATATTCCTGTTTGGGATAGGAAATGAGGGATTGGTGAGTACAGAGGGGGACAGTCCAGGTCCCACCCCCCTACCAAGTTCTCTCCCAGGCGGGCCCCACTCTGAGGGGACAGTCTCCCTCATCTTGCATATTCAGTGGCCTCAAATCATACCTTCTCCCCTAGAGGGCTCTGCTCCTGGGCAGCAGGAGCACTGAGCACAGAGTACCTCTGGCAAGTTATGGATGAGTTCAAATCCCAGCTTTGCCACTGACTTGCTTTTTTTTTAAGAGACAGGGTCTGGCTGTGTTGCCCAGGCTGGAGTACAGTGGCTATTCAGAGGTGCGATCATAGCGCACTACAGCCTTGAACTTTTGGGCTCAAGCAACCCTCCCACCTCAGCCTTCAGAGTAGCTGGAACTACAGGTGTGCTGCTACACCATTGCTGTGTCCTTGAGCGACTTGGATTGTTTCCTCAGTTGTCAGATAGAGCGAGTTATCCCAATTTGACAGTGTCATTTGGAGCATTTGACAGTGTCATTTGGAGCAATTTGACAGTGTCATTTGGAGCAATTTGACAGTGTCATTTGGAGCATTGCGAAAGGCAATGGCACAGGGCACGGCACACACAGAGGATTCTGAATCTTAAAGTGTGTGCTGATGTGGGAGCAGTAATGCAGGGCCGAGTCTAGCCCTTCCATTTACTCACCCATGTTCCATTTGCCCACTTATAATACTCCTGATTTGTCCACCTCTCCATTCCTCTACCCATCCAATCAATTACTCTGCCTATCCCTCTACCCACCCATCTGTTCATTTAGTCATTAATCCACTCACCCACTTACTCATCCATTGGTAAGTTCACCCTATCCACCTAGCCATTCACAAATCTATCCATACTTATCCATTTTCCACCCATCTGTCCACCCATCCATAGCTCCACTGATCATTTATTCACTCACTTTTCCCATTCATTAGCTCATCCATCCAAACATTCCCCTATCCATCAGTCCATTTATTCCCAACCTGTCCATAAAGCCATCAATCCACCTAGCTACCTAATTCATCCACCCATCCATCTGTCCATGAACCTATCTATCCATCTGTCCATTGATACCACCTATCCACCCTCTACCCACCTACTGATCCATCTGCCCATTTATTCATCTAATCACCTATCCATCCATCCATCCATCCATCCATCCATCCATCCATCCATCCATCCATCCATCTATCTTATCCATCATTGATCCATGGAACCTTCCACTTAATCATCCATCAGGCCATCCAATCACTTATCCATCCTCCCATCTGCCCACTAATCTACACCCACAACCCCATACACTTATACCCACATACATATCTGCAGATATTTTGCTCCGCTCAGTTTGAAGGGTTGCTCAGCAGTAAATGGAGACCGGCTGGGTGAGGACAGGGGAAGCCAAAGATCTCCCTTAGCATTACAATGACATGACCTGTGCCACCCCTACTCTGCCCCAGCACATCCCTCCTGGTTGAAAAGAACAAGACCGTCAACAAACCATGATTTTTGGGTGTATCAAAAAAAAAAGCAAGAAAAATAATATATTAAATAAATAAATTTAAAAAAAAGAAAAGAACAAGACCAGACAGTCAGTGGGTGGGTCCGTCTGGCCAGATGGTATTTTGGCTGCACAGCCTTTACACACACACACACACACACACACACACACACACACACGCACACATTGCTAGAATGCTGAACATGGACCACGCCCCCACCCACCATCCCCAATCCCAAATGCAGAGTAGCCAGGCTCCAGACATAAATTAAAAAATAAGATAAAATAAAAAAGAGTTGGTCTCTGGGAGGGAGAGCTCATGCAGAGATGAAGGCAGAAGCCCTTGGGAACCAGGGCCAGGAAGATGGAGAAGTTCCCACCCCTTCCCTCAGGACCACCACTCCCTTGGGGCCTCTGCCCTAAAACAGGATCATAAACACCAGCCATCAGGCATCCAGCCCCTTTAATGTCCAGTCTCCCAACCTATCCGATGTTGGCTCTGGCCCCCACATCCCCACCACAGCCCAAGGGAATGGCATCCTGGGGGTTATGAAGGGGAGGGAGTGGGTGAAGTCTGAAGGTCTTTAGCTGGTTTCTCCAGGCTCTAGGTCTGCGTCAGGAGACCCCACGCACTCCTTGCTGAGCCGCACAATTTCCTGGGACAGAACTTCCATGTCCTAAGAAACAAATGAGCCATCAGGGGCCAGAGAAGGGGGTAGGCCACTCCCTCACCAAAGTTGAGGTATCATCTGTGATTTCCTTTTCACCCCATTCATTAATCAACACCCAGCTGTGCCTGGGCTGGGGCAGGAAGGTACTTGGAGAAGCTCACAGAGACCCCAGCAGTGAGCTGGACTGGGAAAAGTTGCAAGGATGGGTAGGGAGCCTCTGGTGCTATAGATTTGGGAGTGAGTCACCTACTATAACATGGTGCTACTGGAGGATACAACTGCCACCCTCACCACCTTCTCTTCTACTAAATGTGAGATGGCTTCTCAAAGGGAGGAGCTGGGTATGACTCCTTTCTGACTCTCCCAGAGATGGGAAAACTATTTGAGTGGCAGGTTGGGCAAATAGACATGTGGATGGTGATGTGGGGGATCCATGGTAGGCAAATCGGTGGCCAAGTGACTTTTCCAGAGGATGGATGGGAAAAAAAAACAGAAAAAAAAAAACAAAAAACAAAAAAAAACAAAAAATTGAAAAAAGTACAGAGGATGGACAAAGGACAATAGGCAGGCAAGTAGGACACAGGGTGGGTGGGTAAAAAGTAAAACAAGGGGGAACCAATGACTAGATGAGAGTGGTATGTCAGGAAATGGGTGGCAGGACATGCAGTAGGTGCTGAGATAAGTAAATAGTAGGGTAGGTAGATGGACAGACAGGCAAATGGTTGGGTGAATGTGTGTATGAATGGATGAGTGAGTTGCTGGAAGGACTAAACTGATTGGAGGGTGGAAGATGAATGCACGAAGGGGTGGTTGATGTGCGGGTAGGGGATGATGTGTGGCCGGGTGGGCAGGTGGCTGGATGGACAGACAGATGGGTAGGTTGGCAGGCACACTCGCCTTGTGCAAGTGCATATTCTTGGTGAGCTGCTCCTCCAGCATGTTCTGCAGCTTCTTGTTCATCTCCCGAAGGTTCTCGTCGCCTGGCTTCACTAGGTCTCTCAGGACACTGCCCAGCCCGCTGCGGTCTGTGTGGCCTGCTGCCACAGACACATCTGCAAGGGCCCAGGCTGAGAACCACCCCCTCGGCAGAGCCAGAGGAGGGCCAAGCAGAGCCAAAGGAGAAAGGAGGGAAACAGAGTAGGGGAGGAGGGAGGGGGAGAAGCCATGTTATGTATAGGGCTGAGGTTTTGACACATGACTCCTAGCTCTGTCACTTCCTAGCTTTGCAACCCTGAGAAATGAGGATGATAACTAATTCATGGAACTGGAAAAATGCACATGATGGCATGTGAAGCACAGAGCACACAGGAAACCCTCGGTGCATGTCAGCTGGTATTATTCTGATGAATAAGGAAAAATCATGAAGGAAGGGAGAAGGTTTGAAAGAAAAGAGCAAAAGAAATAAAGACAGGGAGGGGAGAGGAAAGAGAAGGAAGGAGACGAAAGGGAGAGGAGGAAATACGGACCCCAAAAGGGACACAGATACAGAGAATGCAAATTTACAGACAGAACAATACAGATAGCAAGATGAAGGAGGGGGCAAGAAAAAAGAAACAGGGAGGAGAGAGAAGAAAAGCAAGAGGAAGATGAGACACAAAGAGAAGAAAGGAAAAAGAGGATAGACACACTAGAGAACGCAGAGTGCAAAGATGACAGAGACGGATAGGAGGGAGGAGGTGAGATAAAGGGACAGCTTCCCTGCTCTCCCGTCCGTGGGTCGCAGTCTTGTTAGTAGCTTCTCTGAGTTTGGAGAGGAGAGAAGGACAAGTGCCACAGCACAGAACAATGGAGAAGGAGGGCCAGGTGAAGGCTAGACCAGGGCTAGGGACCAGGGAGGGGTCACTGACCAATCCGGCTGTCCATGACGTAGGTCTCAATGATGGCACTCTTCCGGCAGAGGTCCTCTGCCATGGAGGCGCTGCTCACTTCCAGGTGCTTCACCTGTAAGATGGCCCAGCCCACCTCAGACCCCTCAGCTGCACAAGCTCACACATGAGGGGCTTGATCAGACCCTACTACCCTGACAAGCAGCCAGACAGTACCTTCTCTTCCAACATCCATTTCTCCTGCTGTGTCTCCGCCAGCCGCTGAAAGAGCTCAGCCACTTCCTCATCTGACAGCTCTGCTGGCCGAAGAGGCTGGGCCTGAGGGCTGCTGGACAAGGACTGCAGGGAAGAGGAGGGGAGAGGCCAGTGCCAGGCTCAGCACCGACCCCTGAGACAGGAGTCAGCAGCTGAGAGACAACACTGGGCAGGAGGTGGGTGGGAGAGTGTGGGCCCTGCGCTGGGCACCTGCCTTGACACGCTCAGAGTCTCTGTATTTCCTTTGCCTAAAGTGAGGTAGAGGGACCACATCAGAGCCTATGGCAAGGATGAAGGGAGATCCTATAGCAAATGAGATCTAACTCGCAGCTGACAGGAAAACTAGGATAAAGAGGAACAAGCTAAATGATACAATTAGGAAGCTAACAGAAAAACCCAAAAGGTGGGATATTTCCAGTGGGTCAACTAGGCTGGTCTCTTTAACACGTTAGTATCAGGAAAAAAGAGACTGCACTAGATTAATGAGACTTAAGGGACATAAAATAAACAGATGCAACATGTGTCCTGAAGCTGAATGCTGGTTTTCATAAAACCAGCAAGAAAGGACATTTTGGGGCCAACTAGAGAAATCTGATTATGGTCCAAGTGTCAGATACTGTGAAAATTTACCAAATTGGGAAGGTAGAGGGAAGGTAGAGCTGAACAAAAACAGGTTACTCACAATCTCATTTAGGTTTAAAAAAGAGAGAGATCTAGACGGGTATGAACTGAGAATTTATAATGGTGATCTCTGGATGATGAAATGTGATTTTTTTTATATTTAAATATAAAATTTTTGCTTATTTGTGGTTTTTAAAAAATTTTCTACAATGCACACATACTGTTTATGGGACAATAAAAAAGCATTATTTTCAAATGACTGGCTCGTCCCCTATGTGGCAATCTGAATCCAAGTTGGTGGGCTTGGGGAGAAGTTGACAAGAAAATGTGTGTGCTGGGCCCAGAGTAGCAGATGGATATAGGTGAGGGAAAAAGGGGAGGGGGGTTCCAGATTTTGGGTGTGAGAAGCTAGGGCTGCAGGCTCTTCCTTGCCCCTCACCCTGGCTGGAACAGCTGGACTCTCCTTCTCCCGTAAGATCTCCCGATAGCTGAAGGAGGAGACGCTACTGCTGTCCCCTGTCTGGGTCCGGCTTGGTGAGTTCATCTCTGAGAGAACCAGTTCCTCAAGGCCTGGGGAGTGGGAGGAAGAGAAACCTGAGCATCAATCCCCCACGGGTCCCAGAGCAGCGACCAGCAGGAAGCAGCAGAAATAGATTTGACAGAGATGGAAAGGAGCAGAGATACCTGGGCATGGGGAAAGGCAGAAGCAGACAGCAGGGCAGGGAAAGACAGAAATAGAAAAAGGAGCTGCCTCTCTGGACAAACACACACAACAGAAGAGAGACAAAATGGAAGAGGCTCGGAAAAAGATGTTGACGTGGGTACACATGGGCCTTAAGTGGCAAAGACACTCAGACTTAGGGTTCAAAGAAAGGAAGACAGACAGGAGAGCACACAGGGGCACACCCGTGTGCAGAAAGAAAACCCCAGAAGGACAGAAAGCCAGAGAAGATGACAGAGATGAACAGAGGCCCTGGAGAAAGACACAAATCACAGCAGAGACAGAAAGAAAAAAGATGGAGGCAGACTCTGGTAACCATGTACCTAAATGACATCTCAATTTAATTTAATGGACAAGGTGAAAGGATGGTATACAATTCTATCTGGCCCGAGATTCTTATAGTAATCTGTGACAAAACAGAAACACAACTCCTCCTTTATAAAGAGAGGTTATTGCAGGAGACTGAGTGCCTCGGAAGAGAAACTGATTTGGTGAGAGATCCATCTGTTTTGCCATGTCACTCAAAACACAGGCACTGAGCTTGTGCTGCTCCTCTTGCGGCTGCTTCTGTGTGTTAGGGAGGGGGCTAACAACACACCCTAAGGGATCTCCAGCAAGGGTGTGGGGCGTGAGTGGGGTTCCATGGGCACCTTGAGTGGCAGGACCAAGGAGCAAGTTTTCTCTGAATGTGTGATCTAAGAGATACACCACAGCCATCCCTGTATTTTATTTATTTAAATATATTTATAGGCCATCCCTGGCTAAAAAAAAGGCTGTGTGTGTGTGTGTGTGTGTGTGTGTGTGTGTGTGTGTCTTCTCCCTTAAGTGGCAGAAATAACAAGGGTTGGCTTTGCTGTATAGTGAAAACACCAGCGTGTTACTGTCTGTGTGTATATCTGTCTCCCTAGCTCAACGAGGAGCCCCTGGAGGGCAGGGACACAGGGGTTTTCATATCAGGGAACCTGGGCTTGAGCATGGAGATTTCTAGAATGAAAGAATGGATACAATGGATTTAGAAATACCAGTGAGGCATGGGAGCATGTATGTAGTACATAAAGAGGGGACACAGACAGAGACATAGAAGACAGAGAGAGAAAAAAAAAGAGAGGTAGAAAGAGATATCAAGGGGGAGAGAGAAGGAAAGGGGGCAGAAAAGTGAACCAGAGAAAGAAAGCAGGGAGATAAAGGCTAATACAGAGGAAAGAGAACAAAATGAGACAGAGGCAGAGGGAGACAGAAACGGCGAAGAGACACAGCAAAGGGGAGACAGAGATAGAAGAAACAGGTAATGCAGAGAAAGAACCAGAGGAATGACAGAGAAAAGATAAAGACAAACTGAGTGCATGAGGGACTGAAGAGCACAGCCCAGGGAGGTGCAGAAAGGTGAGGGAGGTGCAGGAAGGCCCCGTGGCCTGTAGTTCCAGGCCCTGCCTCCCCCAGATGCAGCCTCCCCTGCTTGTCCAGGTCCCTCACCTGAGCGGCTCTTGCTGTTGGTAAGGATGTCCTGCAGCCGCTCCTGAAGCTTGTCCGCGCGTTTCCGTTCCAGGTGCAGCTGCCGTTTGAGGTCCTTGAGCTGGGGGGACAGGAGGAAGATGAGGGCTGGGGCCTAGCGGCCCCATAGGTGGGTGGGAGGCTGCAGGCCAGGAGAGGGCCATTCTTGGGCACCCCCACTTACAGCAGCGCTGCCCTTCTTCTCCAGGATCCGCTGCCCATCCACTGTGTCCTTCACCTCCTGTGGGGAAAGAAAGCATGGCTGGTGGGTGCTGCTTCCTGCTCCCTGCCCCACGCTGGGGCCCAGAGGTGTGTCTGGGGCCATGGAGGGACCGCTGACCTGCTTCAGGACGCTGATGGTCTTCAGGTGGCAGTCTAGCTCTTCCTGGGCCTGTTGGAGTTGATCCCGCACACCCTGTAGCTCCTTGTCCTTGCCCTGCAAAGCAAAGAGCAGCTTAGGCCCCAGCTTGGGTTGGGAAGCCTCTGTCCTCCCACGAGGGCCTGTCACTGCCAGGAGAGAGGAACACCATCATGCGAGGGGCACCTTCAGCTCGGCGGCATGCTGCTCTCGGCACTGCTTGAGGGCTTCCTCTTGTTCCTGCTGTTGCTGCTGCAGGGATTCCTACAAGACAAGTCCCAGGTCTGGCCACAGCCACCCCGAAGACATCATGCCCAGTTAGGGGTGTGAGGGACTGCAGCAGGGGCCTGCGAGTAGGTAGGAATGACCCTCCTGCAGGGAACTCCATGTGCCCTTAGGCAGTATGCAGAAGTGTCATATCTCTAGGGCTGCACCATTCACATGATTGACCTAGATTTGCATTTACATTTTCTTTTATTTAACAAAACATAACACAGCACTTATTTCATGCTAGGAACATTCTAAGGATTTTACATATATTAGCTCATTTTTGTATACTTCCCCCATAATACCTAGGTATTATTGGTATTATAATATAGGTATACAGGTAATACGGTAATATAGGTATTATAATACGTAGGTATTATTGTCATCCCCTTTCTATCCGATGATGAAAATGAGCTGCAGAGAAGTCAGATAACTTGCTTAAGGTCACAGAGCTAGGAAGTAGCCCAGATAGATTTCAAACCCAGGCAAAAAACTGGCTCTAGTGTGTGTTCTTCATGGCTACATGGCACTGCCTCTCGTGTATTATCTGTCATGAGTCTTCCAGAAAATGGCAATGAAGGTTCTTCTTCAAACAACATCAGTACATTACAATAATTTCCTGACAGAAGTACAGTTTCAGGAAGAAGAGGTACCTATTCAAATGTTCACAAAGCCAAGGCAGCCTGGAACCCCTAACAGTCTCCCCTATCTGTTGGCTATCCACAGATCCACTCCAGAGGGCTGTTGTTGAGCCAGGGGGACTGTGAAGATAGCCTCAAGTCCAGAACATCTCAGAAGGTTCCAGGGCCTGACCACTCCTGCTCCCCTGGGTTGGTACGGGGACCCTAACCAGCCTCTGTGCCTCACCAGGCACCACCAACTCACCTCAGCTTCCTTCAAGCGCCGTTCAAACCAGCCCTTAGCTCCATCCATGGAGTGCACTTGAGCTTGAAGTTCTTCCACTGTCTGCTGGAGAGTCTCCAGCTCCCGTGTTCGAGCCTGGAAGAGGGCAGACTGTCACAGGCCAGGCAGGCAGAGGAGTGGGCATCTCACACGCACCACCCAGTGGCCGATCAGCAATGCCGTGGTGCCCAGGTTATAGAGGAGGAAGGACATTCTTATCCACCCACTCACCTTCTCCTCCCGGATCTGCCCACGGAGCTCCTCTTCCTGCCGCTTCTTGTCTTCATGCAGCTCTCGGAGCTCACGCTCATAGCGGGCACGCACTCCAAGAACCTCCTTTTCATGCTGGAGTCGGACAGCTCCCAGCTCTTCCTTGTGCTGGGACTTCTCCTGCATTGTCTGCATCGCTAGCTCATCCAGCATGGCCTTCCGCTTCTCAGCACTCTGCGGGCCAGGAGGGTGGCAGTCAATCTCCTCCCCCAATACCAAAAAAAGGCCCACAACCCTCTCCCCATGCCCAAGGAACTGGCCAACGCCCCCCATCGCCACCAAACTGGCTAAGTCACGCACCCATCCTCATGGAACTGGTCACTTGCCTTCTCCTCCTGTCCCCATGTATTGGGCTATATTGTCTTCCTCCATCCTCACGGACTGACTCAATCCCTACTCCCCACATATACCCCGCCCCTATGTTGCCTTACCTTCCGGGCCTCCTGTAGTTCCTGGGTCAACTGCTCCTTCTCCTGCCCTATTTCTTGAAGTTGGTCCAGAAGCCGACTATTGGCCCGTAATGACTCCTAATGCAGCAATGAAGGGGATGAATTTTATTTTTTTTTTGAGACAGGGTCTCACTCTGTTGCCTGGGCTAGAATACAGTGGCATCATCATAGCTCACTACAACCTTGAACCCCCGGGCTCAAGAAATCCTTCTTCCCTAGCCTCCCAAGTAGCTGGGACTACAGGCACAGGCCACCACACCCGACTAATTTGTCTTTTCCTTTTTTCTCTTTTTTATGGTTTTATTTTATTTCTAGGCCTGAAGACACTAATTTTTCTGCCTTTTGTATGTTTCATATAGATAGAGGTTTACACCACTGAATTTCTACCATTTACACTGAAGGTCTGGCTATTTAAGGGTTGTAGCATGAAAAATGTGTATTTGACTAAGGTAGACATTCAACTGACTTTATGAGTTGACATAAATATTCCTATATACTATTTGTATTAGTTTCCTGTGGCTGTTGTAACACATGACCACAAACCTGGTAGCATTAAACAATAGAAATGGGCCGGGCGCGGTGGCTCATGCCTGTAATCCTAGCACTCTGGGAGGCCGAGGTGGGCGGATTGCTCAAGGTCAGGAGTTCGAAACCAGCCTGAGCAAGAGTGAGACCCTGTCTCTACTATAAAATAGAAAGAAATACCCGGGCATGGTGGCGCATGCCTGTAGTCCCAGCTACTTGGGAGGCTGAGGCAGCAGGATTGCTTAAGCCCAGGAGTTTGAGGTTGCTGTGAGCTAGGCTGACGCCATGGCACTCACTCTAGCCTGGGCAACAAAGCGAGACTCTGTCTCAAAAAAAAATTAACAACAGAAATGTATTCTCATAGTTGTGGAGGCCACAGTGCAGGCATCGGCGGGGCCATGCTCCCCCTGAAGGCTCTGGGAAATGATCCTTCCTTGCCTCTTCCAGCTGACAATCCTTGGCATTCCTTCGCTTGCAGATGTATCACTCCAGTCCCTGCCTTCATTGTTACATGGCTATCTTCCCTTTGTGTGCCATTGTCTCTGTGTTTCTTTTCTTATAGTAATATTAGTCATTTGGACCAGGCCCATCCAACTCCAGTATTACCTAATTTTAACTAATTACATCTGTGAAGACCCTATTTCCAAATAAGGTCACATTCTGAGGTTCTAGGTGGTCATGAATTTTGGAGGAGCACTATTTAATATAGTAAACTGTCTGAGTAGGTCTTGTAATGTACTATGCACTGCAAGGTTTGTTAGCATTAAATTAGGGGCCGGGCGCGGTGGCTCATGCCTGTAATCCTAGCACTTTGAGAGGTCGAGGCGGGCGGATTGCTCGAGGTCAGGAGTTCAAAACCAGCCTGAGCAAGAGCGAGACCCCATCTCTACTATAAATAGAAAGAAATTAATTGGCCAACTAATATATATTGAAAAAATTAGCCGGGCATGGTGGCACAAGCCTGTAGTCCCAGCTACTCGGGAGGCTGAGGCAGCAGGATTGCTTGAGCCCAGGGAGTTTGAGGTTGCTGTGAGCTATGCTGACACCACGGCACTCACTCTAGCCTGGGCAACAAAGTGAGACTCAGTCTCAAATAAATAAATAAATAAATAAATAAGGGATCTCTAAACTTTTCTGTGTTACCAAACTTGTAGTATTGTGTATGTGTGTATGTTGTGTGAGCCCTGACTTTAATGAGGAAATCATTAAAAATAGTATCTCTCTTTTAATAGAAACAATGTCATTTACGATATATATTTGTTAAGCCATTTGACCTAGGAGGGTGTAGATACACAGATGGTTATAGCCAAAAGCTCTTCAGCCTGGAGACTAGGAGAGCCAGGGGCCTCAGTGTCACCGTGCATCACTCCTGACAGGTTTGGGGAATTACATTGATATGAGCTTACAGCAGCAAGTTGAAATAAAGGCCCTATCTAGGGCAATTCTAAATAGAAGGAGAATTTATAGATGCAACAATAACTGATATTTTAAAAAACTATCTAACTTGACTTGCCAAGGCAGATGGCTAATTTTTCTATTTTTTGTAGAGATGGAGTCTTACTCTTCCTTGGGCTGGTCTCAAACTCCTAGCTTCAAGCGATCCTCCCACCTTGGCTTCCCAAAGTGCTAGGATTACAGGTGTGAGCCACTGCACCCAGCCTGATGAATTTGATAAACAGCCCCCAGTAGGTGCCAGTCACCCAGGACCATCTAGTAGACCATCTCCATTCCCCCTGGTCAAGTGGGTGTTATGATCTCAATATTGGGATGGGAAATATGGCAAACTACTAGTTGCTCCGCAGTATTCATTCTCCCCTACTTCTCCAGCAATAAAATTTGTAGTTGGGCACATGGTTGTCTAGCAAACGTTTCCCCTCCTCCCTCACAGTTAGGTGTGGCCATGTGATTAATTTCTGTGAGTAATTTAGGTTATGCTCTTAAAGGAAAGGGGCATGCTATACCCTGCTCCCTTTCCTCCTTCCTCCCAGATAGAATGCAAACATGACAGTAGGGGAGCTTGAGCAAGATGCTGAGATACAGGTCTTGGGTTAAAGGAGGCAGAATAGCAATGGAGAAATAACCTGGGTCGTTAGTGATTGGAAAGCCGTCATTCCATCTCTGAACAATTTACCTGGACTTTTACATGAGAGAGAACTAAACTTTTATCTTATTTAGTCCACTATTATTCTGGTTTCTATTATGGAATCAAAATAGATACCCTAACTAACTGAAGGGGCTCAGTGTCAAAGAAGTGAAATGACCAACCTGAGCAAGAGCGAGACCCCGTCTCTACTATAAATAGAAAGAAATTAATTGGACAACTAATATATATAGAAAAAATTAGCCGGGCATGGTGGTGCATGCCTGTAGTCCCAGCTACTCGGGAGGCTGAGGCAGGAGGATTGCTTGAGCCCAGGAGTTTGAGGTTGCTGTGAGCTAGGCTGATGCCACGGCACTCACTCTAGCCTGGGCAACAAAGTGAGACTCTGTCTCAAAAAAAAAAAAAAAAAAAGAAGTGAAATGACTTGTCCCAGGACACATAGGTGCTAATAAATTAGGGAGCCTGACTGGAACCCAGGTCCTCCTGATTCCAACCTTCCCACTATACATTACTGGGGACTCCACTGTGTCAGTACTAGGGAACTAGGAGAAGACAGAGTGTCACCTGGAGCTGGGAGTTGAGGTCATCTTTCTGTCCCATGAGGTCCTCGTACTCAGCCTGCCGCTGCTGTAGCTCAACTGTCAGCCCAGTGGTCTGTTCCCGGAGCATATTTAGTTCTTGGGTCTTTGCCGTTTGGATCTGGAGAAAGTAGTGGTGATGGGAAGTGGAGTGAAAGAGGCCCCAGGAGTCAGGCACAGGCTGTGGGCCTCCCAGTTCCAGGAAGACAGGAATAAAAGTGGGAAGAGAGCCAGGAAGAAAAAGAACATTTCAAACAGAAAATCAATGATATATTCATACAGTGGAATACCACCCAGTGACAAAAAGACAGACCCATGCTACATATGGGTAAACCTCACAGATATAATGCTGCCAGAAAGAAGCTATGGACTAAAGAGTATCTAATTCCATTTATATGAAGTCAAAGAATAAGCAAAATAACTCTATATTGATAGAGATCACAATAATATTATAATTACTTCTAGGGGAATACTGAGTGGAAAGGGGTAAAGGAGACCTTGTGGGATATAAAAATGCTCTATATCTTATTATCTGGGCATGATGGTGCACTGCTCAGGAGGCTGAGGCAGGAGAATTGCTTGAACCCAGGAGTTTGAGGTTACAGTGAGCTATGATGATGCCACTGCACTCTAGCCGAGAGGACAGAGTGAGACCCTGTCTCAAAAAAAGAAAAAGTGTTCTAGGCCAGGCATGGTGGCTCACACCTGTAATCCTAGCACTCTGGGAGGCCGAGGTGGGAGGATCACTTGAGGTCAGGAGTTGGAGAACAGCCTGAGCAAGAATAAGACCCCATCTCTACTAAAAATAGAAAAAATTAGTTGGGCTTGGTGGTGCATGCCTGTAGTTCAGCTACTTGGGAGGCTGAGGCAGGAAGATGACTGGAGCCCAGGAGTTTGAGGTTGCTGTGAGCTAGGCTGATGCCACAGCACTCTACCCCAAGCAACAGAGCGAGACTGTCTCAAAAAAAAAAAAAAAGCTCTATATTTTGATCTGGGTGGTGGTTATATGGAGAGAGAAGGAAGGAGAAGATTCATCGAACATACACTTAAGATTAGTATACTTCATGCACTTTACTGGAGAGAAACCAGAATGCAAGAGAAGCAGGGATGGATGGGCAGATAGATGAGGGCTGGAAGCCAATAGAAAGGAGCAACAGAAACAGAGGCAGGAGAACAACATAGGGTCTAGGCCACCCTGTTCGAACATGGATCAGAAGCAGGGAGATGGGAGAACTGGGGAAGGATTGGCAGGGCCCCCAGGGGTCCTGTACCTGCTCCAGAGCAGCCAGGCTAGTCCTCAAGGCATTGTTCTCAGCCAAAAGCCCTTCCACTTGTTCCTGCGCATCTGCACTCTGGATGGACACCTGGCCCCACCCCACAACAGGTAAGAGTGGGTTCAGAACACGGGGACAGGACCTACCCGCAGTCAAGAAAGAAAGGAGACGTACACACAGAGGACTGGGGGAAGCAGGGCCCCTGGTGCCTTGCCTATGTAGTACCCACACAGGCTGCCCCACCCTGAACTCCAGCTCCCTGAGCCCACCCAGTGCAACATACCTGATCTTGCAGGGCCCGCAAAGCTGCTGCGTGCTCCAGGCGCTCTCCCTGCCGCTGGTCTCTCAGCTCTGCCAAGCTCTGTGGGGACCAGTAGGCCAGGGGAGCCCGTTACAAACCTCAGCCTCCCCTAGAGTACATATGACCGTACACACTCCCTCTTTAACCACCCAACAGCACATCCCTGGCACCAGTGGATCTTGGACCACCCAGCCATCAGAGATCTCACGTTCACCTGGAGGTCACTACCCCCAGGGGCCTCAGACACATTCAACCCCTCTATCCTAGCCACCAAGCATCTTAGACATACCTAGGCTCCTGGTCCTAGCTCCTGGAGGGTTCAAACTCACTCCGGCCTCATCCATAAGTGGTCTCATACTCACCCATCCAAATTCCATCTCTGGAGCCCCAGGACTGTGAGATGCAATCAGCACTCAGGGACTACAGCTTCACCCAGACTCCTGACCCACCCACCAGGGTTTCAAATGCACTCAACCCCCATGCCCCTATCTCCCAAGAGTCTCAGATCCACCCAAACTCATATTCTCAGACTCTAGAGTTCTCAAACTCATACAACCTCCTAGTTTTCAGCCCCTAGTGAAGTCTCAGGGTGATGCCCCCTCATCTGTCACTCTGCTTCCCAGTCTCTGAGGATCTTCAGACCCAGCCAATCACCAGCTCCTGGGGTCTCAGCTTTACCCAGACTCCTGTCCCAGCCCTCATGTTCCCAGATTCTAGAGGTCTTAGACCCACAAGCCCCACAAGAATATCCTCTATTCCAAGAGACCTCAGACTCACCCTTTCTGAGGGAAAACCCAGAGGCTTTAAAGTCATCCAGCCCCCCCCCCTCAGGAATCTCAGACTCACCTAGACTTTTGTTCCAGCCCCTGGAGGTCTCAGACAGACCAGCCTTTTGTTCACAGCCTCCAGGGGTCTCAGGACCACCCAGTCCATGTGATCCTGCTTCCTAGCTGTCTCAGGCCCAAACCAGTCCCTAGACCCTGAGGGTCTCAAATGCACACAGCCTCCAGCTCTACCTGTCTCACCTTGAAAGTCTTGTGTCTACCCAGCTCCCATGTCCTGAGCCTCTGGGAGTCTCAAATTTACTGACATCCCAGCCCCTAAAGGTCTCAAAGTCACCCAGGCTCTAGGGAATTCAGACTCAACCCAATTCATCCAGACTCCAGTCTCCAACCCTCAGGAATTTCAGATTCATTCACACTTGTGGAACACAACCCCCTAAGTCCTTAGCCCCCTGGGATCCTCAATTCATGCAAACTCCTATCCCAACTCCTAGGGTTCTCAGGACTCTTTAGCTCCCAAGTTCCTAGCTCCTCGGGGGCCTAGGACCCCTCCAATCACTGTATTTCCAACACAGGAAATCTCAGACTCTCCAGCCACCCTCCATGGATCTCAGACCTCCCCAGACTCCCAGCCCTGGTCCCTACCCCAGGGATCTCAGAACCCAGCCCTCCTCACCTGATTGGCAGCCTCAAGTTCCTTCTGCAGTTTCTGGGTTCGAGCCAACTGGGCTTTGAGATCAGCTTCCTTCTGCTGTTGTAACTCTTCAATCTTGTTCCTGGGGGTGATGGGGAGTGGGCACATTGAGCATGGCTTAAGGCCCAGTCTTCGGCTCTGCTCCTGTGGTCTTCAGTTAATTCTGCTGGGCCCTGTCCCCAATGTCCACCAATGGCCTCAACCCCAGCAGTTACCTGCTGTCATTAAATAGCATCTCCTTTTCTGTCTGCAGACGGCAAAAACTGGGCACAGAAAGACAGATGTAGATGGGTCAGTTTCACAAGTCAATTCCCTCCTAGTCCCCCAAAACCCCTGAAAAAAAAAAGAAATTTACCTTTCTTGTTTCTTTCTCAGTTTCTCAGAAAGCTGGATGTGGAAAGGGTGCAGACAAGTAATAACAATGAGAATAATACTAATAAAAACAAAAATAAACTTAATATTTACATACACTTCTTACTAAGTCATTTCTAGAAACCAGGATTTACTTATGTCATCTCATGGGAATCCTTAAACAGCTCTGGGAAGTGAGTAGTACCAGTTTTACAAATGGGGAAACTGAGTTTCAGAAGTGTTAAGTCATTTAGTTGTCCAGCTGATCAGTAGCAACCATATTATCTCCATCCAGATCCCTCAGGCTCCAAAGCCCAGCGCTTATGCCCCCAAAATAGTGGCCAATGGCTGTGTCATAGAATGGCTAGACTGGGAGGCCTGGAAGCAGGATCATGACTAACTGCCTCACCATTGGGTCTCCAAGTCTTTTTTTTTTTTTTTTTTTTGAGACAGAGTCTCGCTTTGTTGTCCAGGCTAGAGTGAGTGCCGTGGCGTCAGCCTCGCTCACAGCAACCTCAAACTCCTGGGCTCGAGCGATCCTTCTGCCTCAGCCTCCCAAGTAGCTGGGACTACAGGCATGCGCCACCATGCCCGGCTAATTTTTTTTTTATATACATATCAGTTGGCCAATTAATTTCTTTGTATTTATAGTAGAGACGGGGTCTCGCTCTTGCTCAGGCTGGTTTCGAACTCCTGACCTTGAGCAATCCGCCCGCCTCGGCCTCCCAGAGAGCTAGGATTACAGGCGTGAGCCACCGCGCCCGGCCTCCAAGTCTTAAGATAAGAGCCAGGGGTCTATAAATGCTTGAGTGAATGAATGAATGAATGAATAGGCAAAGCAATGAGGTGGTAGACAGGATGGGGCCTTCCACACACAAGATATAGTGGGACCACATTAGCCCATTCCATATTGAAAGCAACTCTGAGATGTAAATATGAGTCTCTCCATTTCACAACTGATGAAACTGAGGCTTTCAGGGGGGTCCAGTGCCCCTTCTGCCCTGTCAGGGAAAGCCCAGTACGTGGGGAGTAGAGTGGTACAAACCTCAGAGAAGCCCCACCTTAGCAAGTTCCTCCTGCAGCCTGGATGTTTCCACCTGCTTTGAGCTCTGCAGGGAAGGATGAGAGATGGGGTTGTTGTCAGCAGGGATGGGAAAAGGCCTCTGCCTTCCCCTGTCCTCCTGCTTCCCTCACCCCATCAGCCCACGAGATGGTGATGTCACAGACATCACCATGGGACCACAGACAGAACTGAAGCAACTGCCTGCCTCCCAGCATCCCAGGCCCATCAGACCCAGATTCACCTCCAAGCCTTGCAGCTGCTCCCAGAGCAATCTCTTTTCCTCTTTCTCCATTTCCCATTTCAGCTCCACCTCTGCCAATGGCATGGGGGTCAGGACAGTGGGGGCTGGCCCCCCTGGGGGGTCCCCTTGGCCTTCAGTGACAGCTGAGGGCTTCCCGGCCTCTTTCCCATAGCGCTCCTGCAGGGCTGGTGGATAGAACAGAGATTTGTGACAGATGAGGTGGTCTCTGAAGTCCCTTGCCAAGTCTTGAATAAAGGGAGAACTGGCCTTCAACCCCTCAGGTGGCACAGACCCTGCTCCAAATGACCACATGCCTACAAGATGAAGGTCCTTCCCATTCACACCTCTCACAAATCTTTTAAGCCCCACCAACGACTTAGATCCTGTCTACCATCAAATTAGCCCACGATGGTCTCCCAGGCCCCATTCTCAACCTGCCGAGTCCCACCTACTGCCCTCCAAGGCCATGCCCACCATGGTCCACCCTCTACTTACAGCTGAATCCCTCCTAGAACTTTCTAATTCCCACTCATACCCTACCAAGTCTCCCTCCTGATTGACATACCAGCACCTGCGACACTAGTCCCAGCTGCTCCCCAAAGGTCCACACACCACACCCTCCCACACCTCACTGAGCTTTCTTTCAGCTTTCATCCCAGACCCCACTTACAATCTGGGCTCAGAAGCTTCCCAATGCTCCTTCATTCACTTTCTCCCCTTAGCAAATAGCACCTTTTTGATATTCAAGCTGCTAATCTGTATAACATTTGCTAGGTACCAGGCACTGACCTAAACTCAGAGTGATACTACCTCTTATCTTTACCAAAATCTTCTGGGTGACAGACATCACTATGTGCACTGTGTAGATGATGAAGCTTGGGCTGAGAGAGATGAAATGGCTTGGCCAAAGGCACACATTGGTTTGTGACAGGGTCAAGCCTCATTCTGAAGCCCTTCCCCTTCCCCTTAGAGGATTAAAGTCTTTCTTGTCCTGCTTCAGCCCTGAGGTCCCCATAGCCCCAGGAGGGTCTCCATGCACCTGCCACATTCTTCTGCAAGGCTGTGTTTTCTGCCTGTAGTCTCAGAAGCTCCCCATCCACGAGAGGCCCAGCTTGGGCAACCCCTCCTCCAGTAGTCCCCTCCTTTAGTTGCTGGTTCTCTCGTTCCAGCTGTTCCATCTGGCTGCAGAGCTGAGCAGGGAAAGAAGAGGGGGCAGAGAAGCAGAGAATCAGAATAAGATTTGATGAAATATACATAGCACTTGGCCGTGTACTTTGCAATTCATTTAATTCCCATAACGGCCCTTTGATGTAGATGCTCTCACACTTTACAGAAAAGGACACTGAGGCAGAGAAATGTTAAATTCAAATTCACACATCTGTTAAGTGGCAGAGTCAAGGATGAGGATACTAAGAATGATTTTCCCCTTACCCACTCCCACCCTCATAGATGCAATACAAGACCTCTGGCTCCTCTGGAAGTTATCAGTACCAAAGACAGCCTCACTGCCAATCCTCTTCTGTAGAGGGGTCTGTGTCCTGGATCCTAAGCCCAGGGATAGCAGCTTCTCAGCCTAGGCACCATAGACAGCTTTCAGGGTATTTCCAGGGCCAGCACTGCCAGCAGCTCCCATGTTGCCAGCCCTTGGCCTTAGAGCGGTGTACGGTACAAATAAAACCTAGCCAGCCCCTGTTCAACTCCTAGCTAAAGCACAGTTCTCATAGAAGTCCCAAGACAATCTCTTGTCACCATTGTCAAATGAGAATACCGAGGCCCACAGAGAATTTATTTTATTGCTTGCGACATTTTCTAAGCAGAACACTATTCCCTTCATCCAGTTCTCTACATGACTGGCTTCTTTGTATCCTTCAGTGCTCTGCTCTGTGTCACCTTTAAAGTAGTATCCCTCAACACAGAAAGTCCAGTACTATCACAGTACTCTGTGCCTTTCATTCTCACCTAGCACTAATCATAATTAACTGTTATTTTGTAACATAGGGTCACAAGTATAGATTCTAAAACCAGACTGCTTCGATGTGAATTTCTATCCTGCCATTTACTGGCCATGTGACCCTGGTACAAATGACTTAACCTTCCTGTTACATAGGGATACTATGTATCCGCATCTATTTTTTTTTTTTTTTTTAGAGACAGAGTCTCACTCTTGTTGCCCCAGCTAGAGTGCCATGGCATCAGCCTAGCTCACAGCAACCTCAAACTCCTGGGCTCAAGAGATCCTCCTGCCTCAGCCTCCCGAGTAACTGGGACTACAGGCATGGGCCACCATGCCTGGCTAATTTTTTCTATATATTTTTAGTTGGCCAGTTAATTTCTTTCTAGTTTTAGTAGAGACGGGGTCTCACTCTTGTTCAGGCTGGTCCCGAACTCCTGAGCTCAAGTGATCCACCTGCCTTGGCCTCCCAGAGTGCTAGGATTACAGGCCTGAGCCACTGTGCCCAGCCTACATAGGAATACTAATAGTATTTCATTCACCTGTTGCAAGAATTAAATGTGTGAATAATGTGGAGCACTTCAAACAGGACCTGGCACACAGTAAAAGTACCATATAAACATCAGCTATTGATACAAAACGTGATTTGTTCAATATGTTATCATCTTCACCCCATCCCACCCCTAGAATGTAAGCTGCCTGAGTGGAAACCATTCTGTGCTGCTCACAACTGCATTTCCAGAACACAGAGCACATGGTGTGTGCTCAGAAAGTATTTGCTGAAGGAACAACTGAGCTGAAATATTTCGGCAAATAAGGGGTGGAGGCAGGCTTGGAACACAGGTGTCTCTGTGAACACTTCCAGTTCCTGGGAGGGAGGAGGAGAGGGGACTGTGAGGGAGGTCCCTACACCTGGCTTAGGGCAGGTGCAAGGAAACACAAGCTGGATTTATAGAAGAATGTCTGTCCCTACCTCACTCTGCAAGAACCATGATCCCATGGAGGTTGGAGGCAGGAGGCCGTGAGGGGTGAGGCAGTGAGGCCAACGGTTATGTGAGCACTGGGGGCTCTGAATAGGGGGTGGGGGTAAAGAACAGAAGGTATTATTTAAAGGATGGATGTGCTGAGACCTGCAGGTCAGAACAGCCTCTGTGGAATGGACTGATAGAAGAAACTAGAAGCAAAAAGACCAGGGAGGAGGTATGGAAGCAGAGCAGGTGAAAGGTGGTAATAGCTTGAAGCAGGGCAGGGCCACAGGATGGATATAAAACTTTTAAAAAGTCAAGAAATTTATTTTAGAGGGAAAATGAATTAATAGCAGGATAATATTACTGGCTGATATGTCCATAGCTGATACCATGTGCAAGGCTCTGTTCTGAGTAACTTACATACATTTACTCATTTAATCCTCACAGAAGCCCTGTGAGGCAGGTACTGTTATTATTATCATTTCCATTTTAAATGTTTAGGAACAAAGAACCAGGTAGGTTAAATGACTTGCTCAAGGTTACAGTTAGTAAAAGGCAAAGCCAAGATTTTAATTTAGGTCTTTTGGCTCCAGAGTCCCTGCTCATAACCACTACTTACTAAACTGCCTCTCCTGGTATTATACCTGATTAAAGGTTGTTTTCTGTTTTGTTTTGTTTTTTTAAGGTCTTAAGCACTATATTCGCAGGTGGAGCCTTAGAAATACCATATTTTCTGCCATGGTACTTTTTTTCTTAAACTAAAAACTTAGAAATCCAGAATGGGATGCTGCTAAAAATTAGAAAAATGTAAAATTTTTTAAATATTAAAAAAAAATGTGTGATGGAATCTTGCTGGAAAAAGAAGAAAAAAATATAAACTAAAATAATGTAATATGTTTAAAATAAAAAAAAAACTTAGAAAATCATGTGTTTAAAAAAATTTCCTTTTCTTTCACAGGCCCAACAGCAAGTCAGAACTTAGAAAATTATTAACTGTGGATACAGAAGATAGATAAGGAAACAAAAGACAATGTCTCCAACTCCCAGTAGATTTAGATACAGCCAGGACACTAAAATCAGTAAGGAGATACAATTAGCTGACCCAGGATGAATTATCTGGAAGAAGTAGAACCCCAGGCTCATGTCAGATGAAGGGATGGAAGAGAAAAGGGAAGGAGCTAGATCACCTTTCCATCCCATATTAAGCATAAGAACTTTACTTAAAAACCCCCAACACCTTGGAGCTCCATAGCATCGGCCCCAAATTATATACCTGGAGACAAGAAGCACAAAGAAAAGGAGTCACTTGGCCAGCAACCAGCTGACCTCAGGGCTTGAAGCCTTCTAATCCCAGATGAGTGGCCCCATCTGTCAAATTACTGGCCCCCAGCAGCAATCCAGAACCTGTTTCAGCACCACGGACAGTGCTCCAGGGCCAGCCCCTGTCCAACCACACTCTGCTGCTGTCTGGTTCCAGCCCACATGGCTCCTACTCCTCATTTCCCCCTCAATCATCCCAGGCACCAGCACCTTGCTGAACTCGGCCATAAGTGTGCTGTTCTGCAGACGGAAGTCCTCCTCCTGGCTGTGCAGCTTTGCCTGCAGCATCTCATTTTCACTCAGCAGCACCTCGACTTCCTGCAGTGGCAGACATGGGCCAGGACTCCAACAAGGGCAGGAAGGATGGGGAGGTAGGACAAAGAAACACAGAGAGGAAGAAAATGACATGAGGGAGGATGTGGGGTAGAGAATGGAGCGATACAAGAGAGACAGACCCAGAGAGGGATAAAAGGAGAGACGGGAGGGGGAGAGAGAGACATGGGAAGGGAGAGAGTGGAGGGAAGAAAGGGAAAGATAATGACAGGGGAGACAGGAGGCAGAGAGAGATGGGGAAAGGGGGAAAATAGGGAAGGAGAAAGGGATTGGAAGGGAGAGAGAGCAAAAGAAAGGTCAGGAAGACAGAGAGATAGGAATAGAGGGAAATTGGCAGGGACAGAACAGAAACAGAGAGAAAAGAGAGGGGTTCAGGGAAAGAAATGACTTAGGAGGTGGCAGAGGAATTAGAGGAAAGAGAAGCAAGGAGTCAGAGAGAGAAAGGGGAAGTAGAAAAGAGAGAAATGCTGGCAGAGATAGGAACAGGGTGGGGAAGAGACAAAGAAGAGATTAGGGAGAGAAACAAGAGCCAGAGAGAGAGGAACAGGAAAACAGAGATAAGGACAGAAAGAGAGAGTCAGAAATAAGGACAAAGAGAAAGAGAGAAGGAAAGAGACACACTGATAGAGGCACAAGTTCAAGACAAACACAGGAAAACGATGACAGACACAGAAACACATGGCAGTGAGGTAGTCGTAGACACAAGGGCACACACAGAGAAAGACAGACCAGTACGAGGAGACCCCAGCATACATGAATATACTGCCAAGACAGTCTCCCAGACACACTTGGGTCACCCATGGGTCCCCTTACCTGAGCTTTCTTGCTCTTGCTCAGTGCCTAAAGGGGGTTGGGAAGAGAGTTAATGTGAGCAGAGATGGACACCCTCACTAAGGAATAAAGACAATTGTGGCAAGTGTTAAGAGGGGGACAAAGGTGATAGGGGTTGCAGGATGGGAGTGCCTTCAATCACAGAACTTACATGACATTTTGAAGCCCACAGGAATGATGGAATGAGTGAGTGAATAAATGAATACAAATCTTGCCTTGGGCCTGTAGCACACAGAAATCATCCTTTCTTCTAAGCTCTTGGGGCTGGTTACGGGGTCTTGGTATTTAACCTTTTATGAGCTGGATCTCCAGGCTCAGAAGTTGTGGCTTCATTGGTACATCTGCCCAAACATGTCTACGTGGATCCCTCCCATGCAGTGTGGGAACTGCTGCTCCCCTGCTGGGCAGCCAAGGGCATTGTGAGGTTTGGGGAATCAGTGCTCTGCCAACGAGAAGCCCAGCTTCCTTACTGTCAGATTTGCTGCATATTTGTATCCCTTCATCCAACAAATATTTATCAAGCTCACACTATGCATAACATTGTGCTATGCACGGGGACAGAGCGGTGAAGTACAATGTAAAGGAGGACCTTGAATGTCTTGAAGGGCCACGATAGGCTACACTGTATCTCATCTTTAGAGCATCTGAGAGGTGGGTTTGATCTCATTTTGCCAACTGGACCAGGGCAGGGATGGGAGGCGGGAGCACAAGGCAGATTCACTGACAGATTTGACAATTTAATTAAAAGTTAGTGAATGAGAACGAGTAAGTAATTGAAATTAGAAATGAGTTAAGAGTAAATTAAAATTAATCCATAAATTAAGCAGGATTAGGTAAAATTAACAAACTAAAGAGACTTCCATGAGAATTCTTCAATAAGTACATGAAAACAGCTTGCCACATTAGGTCTGGTTCACTGTGGGCGCTCTCTGGATAGATGAATGAGTCAGATTGGTAGAGGGAAGCAAGGGTGGGTGGATGGGTGGGTGGAGGGAGGTACCTTCTGAGCTTTGCTGAACTCCTTATCCAGGTAGGCAACCTTCTGTCGAAGACTGGTGAGTTCTGGTGTGGGGAAAGCAGGGAATCTCAGCTTCAGGCATGGCAAAGAGCTGAAAGGTCTTCCTGCCGGGCCTCTGGGGGAAAACCTCAGCCCTCGTCCCTTAAAGCCACCCCCATCTAATGAAACCCTCCTGGCTCACCAACACCATTCTTGCGTAGTTCATCTGAAAGCTGGTAATTGTTTGTCCGGAGTTCCAGGAGCTGAGCCTTTAGGAGAAGCAGGGAAGAGAAAGACTTGGTCAGGAAAGCACCTCTACCCACACCATGAGAGAACCAAGCCCCTAAGCCCCCAAACCCCACACCCTCCATTTGCCTCTTTAACCATTCCTTAAGACCTGTACCTGCTGCATTCTAAATAAGCCTCCAGGCCCTCAGTCCCTGCCCCACCATCCCCAGCTTCACTTATAACCCAAGATAGCCTCCCCCCTCCATCCACCCCCCAATCCACCCTGCACTCAGCCATCACAGAGCACTGCCCCCATCAGGCTCTTGTTCATGTGCACTGCATGGCTCTCCATGCCCACTGGATAAAATCCCTCCTCCTCATCTTGGCTGACCTCTTCACACACTAAACACTGTCAGGAGTGTTGCCCATCTTCTTGGCCAGACCTGGAGGCCTCTGAAGGCAGGGAGCAGAGACCTGCCTTCCTTCTCTTTCCCAAGGGAAGAAGGTCTGGTATTCTCCTGCCTGACTTTCACTGAGTCAGGCACTTCCCAGGGTCCCCCTTTCCCCAGTGCTCTCAAAACATGTCCAGGCCCCCTTCAAGAATTAAGGGAAAGTGAAATATGGGCTATTTCAAACAGCACACTCCTCCTTACCCGTCCTGTAGGGCCCATTCTCTGGTTCTTCCCAGACCCACCTACCGTCCGTTACCCCACCAGGACCTTTCCCTCCCTCCCTCCCTCCCTCCCTCCCATGGCACCAGCCTCCATCCCCTACCCCTGATAGTCTGCTCAAGATCAGAGGGCTTGTCCTCTACAGAATCTTTCCTACCCGTCCTCCCCTCCCCAGGACACAGTGATCTATCTCCCGAAGTCCTGATCCAATTGGAATACCCTTTGGAATACCCCCTTAGAGTCCCTCCCCAACAGAGCCCAATGGTTTTCCCTCACTCATGGCACAGTGGGATCAATCTTCCTCACTCAAGGGTTCCCCCACTCCCTTCAAGATCTACCCAGTCATGATCCAATGGGATGGCCCTCCACCCTTTAGGGTCCCTCTTCTGCAAGACCTTCGGTGAGCCAGTTGGACTAGTCTTACATAGAATCCCTCACAGAGATTACAGTGGTCTTCCTCATTTGTCGTTCAAAATGAGCTCACCCTTCTATCCTCAGTATCCCTCACACAGGGACACCTGGTTTCCCTCATTCAAGGACTAATAGGATTACCTGTTCTCATTCAGAGTTCCTCCCTTCCCCCCATAGGACCCTACTCAGGGTTTCCCCCTCTCAGAGTCTCCCCCAGTGAGGAACTCTCTCAACATGGGCCCATTCACTGTACAAGGCTATGGTCTTTCATCCAGTCACAGAGTTCCCCCTCCCAAAAGAATCAGGTAGTCAGAGGGTTCCTCCCCAAAGCTCAGTGATCACTCCTCCATGCAGCCCAAGGTGTCACTCTTTCACCTCTTATGGACCCCTCCCCAACAGAGACTAATGGTATTACCCATTCAGGGCCTTCTTCACCCCAGGCCTAATGTAATCACCCTTAATCATCCAATGGTACTGCCCCCTCTTAGGATGCACAGCCACCACTCCCACAGGATTTCCACCAACCAGGAACAACAACGACATCTGGGGTCTTTCCTGAATCCCCTGGCACAGTGTTATCTCCCACAAACTTTCCACCTCCCACTGACTAATGGTATTACCCTCTCAAGGGCTCCCCCACCATGACGCAAACAGCCCAACACCGCTTCCTTCTTCTCCAGGCAAAATGGTTTCGCCTTCTCAAAGCCCAACATTATCATCACTCATCGCTGGTGTCCCCTGCACGGTCCCAAAAGTCTTGTCCCTTCCAGGTCTGAGTAAAGTACTGGTTATTCAAGGACGCTGTTCCCCACCCACAAGGCTAATTGAATTCAACCTTCTGAGCCCCCACCGTATCTCGGGATGAAAGACTCTCACTACTCGGAGCCTCAGTTTCCTTTCTCCGGATCAACCCCTTAGACTCTGGATCAATCCCAACCAACCCATTCTCACAGCTGGTGGCATGATCTCTCTCTATCCCTCCCCCAGTCGCCTAGCCTGGTGGTCTTTCCCGGCACCTGCATCCGCTGAAACTCCTCTTCAGACAGAGCTTGCGCCATGTTCCTCCCCCCACCCCCACCCCCGCCAGCTTCCTGCGCAGACGCAGCTCCTGCCTCCTGTCACTATTCAGGTCGGACCAAACCACTGCCTACGAAGGGAAGGGGTAGACCTAATTCAGAAGTTCAGCATTTTAGAGACAGAGAGAAGAGAACAAAACCAACACGTCAGGTGAATTGTGATTTAATGTTCTACCAAAAGGTAAGTCATCTGATTGGCTTTTTGAGCTTTCATATACTACCCATTGTGATGCGACATTACAGCATCCTGTCTCATGGTTGGACTCGTCGCTAAGGAAGTGTTTGCCGACAGAAAATCACTCTTCCGCGGTTCTCCTTTAAAGAGAACCGTTGACTTAATAACCGTAGAAATGAAAGCGGAAGCTTTTGTCAGGTCTTGTTCCCGCCCTTGTCTGGATGCCCCCACACAGGGATATCCCGCCTCTCGTGAAGCCCTTGCCCCCCCCCCACCCTTGTTACGATTTGACAGTGATTTTATTAACGTGATGCCGTACATCACTTTAGGTAAAGGACCTAGCCATCAATAAATTAAAAATACCTGAAAGAGGCCGGGCGCGGTGGCTCACGCCTGTAATCCTAGCTCTTGGGAGGCCGAGGCGGGCGGATTGCTCAAGGTCAGGAGTTCAAAACCAGCCTGAGCAAGAGCGAGACCCCGTCTCTACTATAAATAGAAAGAAACTAATTGGCCAACTGATATATATATAAAAAATTAGCCGGGCATGGTGGCGCATGCCTGTAGTCCCAGCTACCCGGGAGGCTGAGGCAGAAGGATCGCTCGAGCCCAGGAGTTTGAGGTTGCTGTGAGCTAGGCTGACGCCACGGCACTCACTCTAGCCTGGACAACAAAGCGAGACTCTGTCTCAAAAAAAAAAAAAAAATACCTGAAAGAGGCCCAGCGCGGTGGCTCACGCCTGTAACCCTAACACTCTGGGAGGCCGAGGTGGGAGGATCGCTCAAGGTCAGGAGTTCAAAACCAGCCTGAGCAAGAGCGAGACCAGTCACTACTAAAAATAGAAAGAAATTAATTGGCCAACTAAACATATACAGAAAAAATTAGCCAGGCATGGTGGCACATGCCTGTAGTCCCAGCCACTCAGGAGGCTGAGGCAGGAGGATCCCTTGAGCCCAGGAGTTTGAGGTTGCTGTGAGCTAGGCTGATGCCATGGCACTCTAGCCCAGGCAACAAAGTGAGACTCCGTCTTAAAAAAAAAAAGTTTCATTAAAAAAACAAAAACAAACCAGGCTGGTGAAGCACCAGGAACATTCAAATAAATATTAAAATGCACTATAACCCTCACCAGTCTGAGAGTGAGAGATGGCATCTCCGTGTGGTTTTAATTTTTTTCTCATTTTGATAGGAGTAAATGATTGGCCTGCTGTGAGAAAATATTTTCAGCCAGGTATCTTTTTTTCTTTCTTTCGTAATTTAATGACCTTTATTGAGATAACGTTATCTACCTATCTCTCAGTATAATGCACCCATTTTAAGGGTACAATTCAGTGAGTTTTGACAAATGTTCATAACCTTGTAACCACCACCACCACAATCAAGAGATGGAACATTTCTATCGTCCCCAAAAGGCTCTTTTATTAATACTAGCACTCTGGGAGGGCGAGGCAGGAAGATCGTTTGAGCTAAGGAGTTGAAGACCAGCCTGACCAAGAGCAAGACCCATCTCTACTAAAAATAGAAAGAAATTAGCCAGGCAACTAAAAATATATAGAAAAAATTAGCCGGGCATGGTGGCGCATGCCTGTAGTCCCAGCTACTCGGGAGGCTGAGGCAGGAGGATCACTTGAGCCCAGGAGTTTGAGGTTGCTGTGAGCTAGGCTGACGCCAGGGAACTCTAGCCAGGGCAAGAGAGTGAAACTCTGTCTTTAAAAAAAATGGCCGGGCGCGGTGGCTCACGCCTGTAATCCTAGCACTTTTGGAGGCCGAGGCGGGCGGATCGCTCAAGGTCAGGAGTTCGAAACCAGCCTGAGCGAGACCCCGTCTCTACCAAAAATAGAAAGAAATTAATTGACCAACTAAAAATATATATACAAAAAATTAGCGGGGCATGGTGGCACATGCCTGTAGTCCCAGCTACTCGGGAGGCTGAGGCAGTAGGATCGCTGAGGCCAGGAGATTGAGGTTGCTGTGAGCCAGGCTGACGCCACGGCACTCACTCTAGCCTGGGCAACAAAGTGAGACTCTGTCTCAAAAAAAAAAAAAGGCTCCTTTATGTCCCACCACAACCCCCACCCCCACCCCAGGCAACCACTGATTGGATTCTTGACACTAGATTATTATATTTGTTTTTTGTAGAGTTTCATTCAAATGGAATGGGATGGTATGTTCTCTTTTGTGCCTGGCTTCTTTCACTCAGCATAATGCTTTTGAGATTCATCCAAGTTGTTTTGTGTATCAGTATTTTTTTCTTTTTATTGATGAGTAAAATTCCATAGTGTAGATATACCACAATTTGTTTTTCCATTCTCTTACAGTAGTTTTACTTTATGTTTCTCTTATTATGAGTGAGATTGAACATCTTACATGTTTAACTATAAAGACTTTTTTTTTTTTTCTTTTTAAGAGACAGGGTATTGCTCTGTCGCCCAGGCTGGAACTTCTGGGCTTATGCCATCCTCCTGCATAAGCCTCCCTAGTAGCTGGGATTGCAAACGAGAGTCACCATGCCCAGCTAATTGTTTAATTTTTCATAGAGATGGGTGTGTGGGCGAGAGATATCTCACTATGTTGCCCAGGCTGGTCTCCAACTCCTGGCCTCCAGTGATCCTCTTGCCTTGGCATCCCAAGTGCTGGTATTATAGGCATGAGCCACCACACCTGCCCTTTTTAAAAATGTGTATTGTCTGTTCACATCTTTTGCCTGTTCATTCTATTTGGTTTTTGGGTCTTTTTCCCCTATCAATGCTCAAGAGTTCTTTGTATATTAGTGATATTTACACTTTATTGTAATATATGTTGCAAATATTTTCTCCCACTTTGTTAGCCTTTTTTTTTTTTTTTTTTTTTTTTGAGACAGAGTCTCACTTTGTTGCCCAGGCTAGAGTGAGTGCCGTGGCATCAGTCTAGCTCACAGCAACCTCAAACTCCTGGGCTCAAGCAATCCTGCTGCCTCAGCCTCCCAAGTAGCTGGGACTACAGGCATGTGCCACCATGCCCGGCTAATTGTCAGGCATCTTTTGGCCATGTTTATAATCCTAGAAGCTAGGAAATGTGTATATGTATGCTAGCCCATGTATACCCACACATATGTATTTATTTCTGTATCTATCCAGCTGTATGTATTTTAAGATAAACATGAATTCATACTGATATTCCAGTACCACATGCTTCATTCTAGCCTGCCTTTCTTTCTTTCTTTCTTCTTTTCTTTCTTTCCTTCCTTCCTTCCTTCCTTCCTTCCTTCCTTCCTTCTTTCTTTCTTTTCTTTCTTTCTTTTTTTTTTGAGACAGAGTCACACTTTGTTGTCCAGGCTAGAGTGAGTGCTGTGGCATCAGCCTAGCTCACAGCAACCTCAAACTCTTGGACTCAAGCAATCCTTCTGCCTCAGCCTCCCGAGTAGCTGGGACTACAGGTATGCGCCACCATGCCCGGCTAATTTTTTCTATATATATATTAGTTGGCCAATTAATTTCTTTCTATTTATAGCAGAGATGGGGTCTTGCTCTTGCTCAGGCTGGTTTGCTCCTGACCTCGAGCAATCCACCCTCCTCGGCCTCCCAGAGTGCTAGGATTACAGGCGTGAGCCACCGTACCTGGCCATTCTAGCCTTCCCTCTTGCTTATCCGTAACCTCCTACTCCAACAGTGAGAAACCTAGTTTCTACCATCCACCACCAAGTTACTTAATTGTTCAATCCCAGCATACATGTATAGCAATACCAGAATTGTTAACCGATACATCCACAACTTTAGCAGAGTTAAATGCTTTTGTACATCTCTTTTTGTCTTTAGCCTTGGAGTTTCCAATGAAAACACCGTTTTCTAAAGTGACTTAGGTCAGCACCTCTTCCTCCACCTTCTTCAGTGAGATTATGTTATACATTTATAATATAGTTAGATTATGTTGTCACAATCTCCATTCTATATTGGATCCCCTGACCTCCGGGTTGATTTTTAAAAAAATTTTTGCATGCATTAAGATGCATTTTTGTACTGTAAAGATCTATGTAGTTTGACAAATGCATTTTAGAGTTTTCTTCATATAGGTTTTCTTTTTTTCACATTTCTCCTTAGGTTCCTTCCTAAATATATTATTTTCTTTGTTGCTATTGTAAATGAGGTTTTCTCTATCATTATATCCTCTAACTGGTTATTGTTTGTATATACAAAGGCCATTGATTTCTTTGTCTTAATTTTATATCCTTCTACTTTACTGAATACCTTTTTTGTTAGAGTTAGTTTTATCATTGAGTCTCTAGGGTTTTCCAGGTACAAAAATCATATCATCTGAAAATAGAGATATCTATTTTTTTCTTTTTGAGACAGAGTCTCACTCTGTTGTGCAGGCTAGACTCCCGTGGCGTCAGCCTAGCTCACAGAAACCTCATACTCCTGGGCTCAAGCGATCCTTCTGCCTCAGCCTCCCAAGTAGCTGGGACTAGAAGCATGCACCACCATGCCCGGCTAATTTTTTCTATATATTTTTTTGTTGGCCAATTAATTTTCTTTCTATTTTTAGTAGAGACGGGGGTCTCGCTCTTGCTCAGGCTGGTTTCGAACTCCTGACCTTGAGTGATCTGCCAGCCTTGGCCTCCCAGAGTGCTAGGATTACAGGTGTGAGCCACTATGCCCTGGCCTGAGATATCTTTTCTAGTCAATTAAACTGCCTCTAATTGATTTATCTTGTCTCCTTACCATTTTCCACTAACAAGAACCAGGGCCCTTTGGAGAAATGGCTGATTCCAGGGCTGGGGCAGGGAAAGTACCAGATTAGCCTGAAACATCTTGTTTTACCACCCATTGAATGAATTTGAATAAGAAAAGAATCCATAAGTCCAAAGTGACTTAAATAAATAAGTAGAAGAGAAGGGAAAAC